TTTGTGTTGTGTGTGTTTGTGTTGTGTGTGTTTGTGTTGTGTGGGTTAAACTGAAGGTGTTTTCTTGAGTTTATATGTTCTGTAGTTGCGGTGCGTTGCCACCAGGGGTTTGTAGCACATGCTCATGAGTATTTTCTCTGTGTCTCAGTCACGTCCCACTGCAGAGTCCAGCTGCCCCCCCCCCCAACCCCCCCGCAGCACAGCCAATCACCGCCCGCCACCTCACAGCCCCCACCTGTCGTCATAGTAACAATGAGCCTGCCATGTGACAGCAGTGTGTACGAGTCTCACTGCCATGAGCCAATGGCACACACACACACACACACACACACACACACACACACACACACACACACACACACACACACACACACAGTCTCTTCTCTTTACTATCACTTGAAGGTTGTACTTTTAAAGGAACAGTCCCAGGTTTTTCTAAGATGAACATATCGCGTAGAGCAGTCACACGTCAGTGGTTCTACATCAAATACTTGTTTGTAAAAGTACTTTTACGCGACAACGAGCCGCCATAAGAGAAACGTTCAGACGTGATCTGACGTCTCTGCTGATCAATCAGCTGTCAGGTGACCTCTGACCTTCAGCCGTGGTGTGATGTAACTATGACTGTAATGAAACGCAGCTGTTGGTTCATTTGTCAAACTGACAGTCGCTGCAACGCCGATATTAATGAGACGCAGACATTTGGATAATGTGGGGGATGTTCCTATTATTATCATTATTATTATTAGAGAGGAAATACACAGTAATACAATTTTAAAATGGGATGATTTGCATTATTGAATTGGAGTTATAAATAATTAGTTGACTGTTTTCCAGGATCTTCGATGCTGCTGGATTCGCAGAGTTATTTTAAAGTGGGAGACTTATATGTTTTTCATGTTACTGTAGTTTTTTTATTTTTAGAATAAAGACAGTGACCAAATGGAGAAGTATCTCAGCTCAAGATCACATATCACATGTTTCCGGGGACTTATTTTAACAGCAGCATTGTGGGGACGGTCCTGTAAATCTTCACAAGTGTAACTCCAGTATCAACACCTGCCCTCATTTGGGAGCAAATTTCAGTTACAGGTTCTGGAATGCCACATAAATATTTATAAAAATGATGATAGTGACAAAAAAAAATCTAAATCTATCTATGTTTTTAATTATTTTGATTTCCTGGTGTTAATCACATGATGGGGACACGAACCTTATTACAAACATTAGTCACAATTCAGTGCTTGTGTTACCTTCCCGGTGGATTTGACTCCCTTCCAGACGCAGAAGTAAACAAGAATCCAGACGAACATCAGACACAGCATGAGCTCCCAGTGAAAGCTCCCAGGTTCATCCAGACCCGGCGAGATGTTCAGCACCTTGTTCCTGCACAGAGACACGTGATGTTTTATTCAACATGGCTGTGACCTTTCAACTGTGGACAGAACCAATGTGGTCACCTTGTATCTCAAACTGTTCATTCTGGAGCCACTACAGGGGCCCAGGGGCCCAGGGGCCCAGGGGCCTCCAGTCTACTACATCCCTACACCTTGGCCGTAACCTGGGTGCAAAATACGGGATTGAGACTCTTCCTTTCTTTCTTTTATCATTAACAATAATTATCCTAATAATAAATAACTAGTTAGAGCAGGTTTCAATACACTCAGAAAATCTGATTCATTCATCCCAAGAAATTCTAAGTAAATGATGACGAATAGTTCTTCCCAGTCATACAAAGATGGGTGTGTCTGTTATGCTCTGATTAACAATTAGGTGTGAGACACAAACTGAAACTTTCACTCAGAGCAGAAGAAACAGACTCTGGAGTCTCATCTGTTTCGACACCGTTTGGCAGCAGCAGGAGAAACGGACGTTTCAACCCACACAGATGTGTTCGTGAGAAGAGAGAGCAGATTTCACACCTGAACACCACAGACAAGAAAAACAGAGGAATTCTCTTCTTCACACACTTTTAAAAACATGACTTCGTTCTTCTGTGATGCTCCATGACGCCACGTGGACTGATGCTGGGTTCAAACTGAAAACTCCAACGTTTCAGGAGGCTGATGTAACATAAGGCTGATATGATATAATAAAACTTCATGTGCAAAAACCTGGACCTGATCAGACTTTATCAGATTGAACCTGTGAAGGTTCAGACTGATTGTTTTATTGTTCTTTATTTACTGTTTTATTTACGGTTCCTTATTAATGTGTCAGAGGCGTCTGAGCTTTGTTGTTTGTGTGTCAGTGAATCCAGAGAGACTTTAGAATGTGAGTGTTCATCGTCTGGCCGGGGTCCAGATGTGACGATAGCGGCCGGGCAGCAGGTACTGGATTAATGTGGTTTGGTCATTGATTTGAGTCTGATATCAGTCAGCGAAAAGCTTCATGTTACTTATCTCTAATGTTCTCTGATAACATTGTGAGGATATCGCTGCCCGTTCACCTACTGGAGCTAAAACGATACAGACAACATTTATTGCTCGTCTGAAATTAAATTAGAGAGGCAACAGTCTACGTCTGACATTTACAGCCCACAGAACATTAACGTGGAGGTGATTGAACTGCGGGAAAATATCAATCAAATCTAAACTTAATTTGTACAAAACTTAAAAAAACATCTCATGTCATATTTATAAAAACCCTGTGTCCTGATACAACACAATCTATCGACCAGAACCAGAACTTACTCCCAGAACTCAATGATGGGCGATCGCGAGTTCGCCAGCTCGGCACAGGTCAAGTTGCCGATGATGCTGATGTTGGCGAGGCTGCCGTTGTTGCATTGCTGATGAGGAAAGCTCTCGATGCAGCTGGGCGTGTTCCACATGTTGTCGCAGGTGGACCACGGGAGGACGGAGTTAAAGGACTTTATCAGGTAGTAGAAGCCCCAGGCCAACACCATGATGTAGTAGGTGTTGCAGAAAAACACGATCACCATGGAGGCGTAACCGAGACCTGAGTGAGAGGACGAAGACACAAAATGAAATGTTACTCAATTTACCATTTCAATTAGACCACTCGTGGGAAAACGAGAGTTTCTCGCTCGGCTTTGAGAAGTTTTAATGTTCTGGGGTTTAGTGACAGCTAGTGGTGAAGGTGCAGATCGCAGCCAACTCTTCGGGTAACGTTAAACATGAACGACCCTCTCTACGGAGGCCGCCATGTTTTTTACATCAGTCCAGACTGAACCAACTAAAACCTTTTGAGTTTTTATGACGACTGAAGCTGCCACAGGTTCTTCTTCATGTTTGGAAGGAGAGGGGGAGGGGAGGGGTGTTCAGCTGCAACATGACACTTCAACACTAGATGTCACTAGATTCTACACACTGAACCTTTAACAGTTTGATTTGTATACAATAATAAATTGAATTGTATATTTTAATCTACAACACAGCTGTCATACTGCAGGACTAAATATCCCCTGATTAAATCTCTGATTGATTGTGGGGTTAGATTTCTGCAAGCTTTACTGAACTGAAATATGAAACCAGAATGTCGTCATCAGACAGAATAAACTCTGATGAACAAATACAAGACAATGAAAAGACAAATGTAAATATTTGAAAAACTTTTCTTTAAACCAATAATTTAAACCTATAAAGTTTCCGAAGCTACAAGCCAGTGGGAGGATATTCTCCATTTGTTTTATCATTGGTATCACATTTGTCAGATTATTAACATTCACTCCAGCTGTTTTATAAACATTCTCTCTTCTGCAAAGTACGTTCACAATTTCCTTCCTAAGTGAGACAGTTGAGTCCAGTTTTTCCACTTCCTGCTCGTAAACTGGGTCAAAACTGCAAATCTACATTTATGAGTTTACGAGCAGCAAAAACTGTGAGACGATAAGTGATCAGCTGAGGAGAAGTGGGGCCACGTGTTTCAGCGCTGCTGATTCACAATGAAGTTTGGCCTCGACGATAAAAAAAAAACTCATTCACACTTTGTCGGCAAGATCTGAAAACGCTGCAGATAAGACTCGACGTTTTCTCAATCAACAGAAATCGTCAATTCAGCAGCTGTGATGTCTGATCACCTGAACTGAACTTTACTGAACCACAAAGACAATTTCAGATTCATCTTCATCTTCATGTCAGAAAAATAGATTCTGTGTCATCTTCACTGACACAAAATCTATAAACAGGAGAAATTAATATATACATATTTATATGCATGTATGTATATATGTATGTATATATTCTTAATATACAGTCATTGATCGATTGCCTTTGTGTGACATGAGTGCAAGCTGTTCATAAACTCAGTCTAACATCTGATCTGAGCTCAGTTTTAGTTGCCTATTGCATGGAAAGCTGTCACATGACCTTCAAAACCCATGCACACATGTCATGCGTGTGCGTCTTTATAACATTCATGTATTGCACTGATTCAAACTCCCCGTCGGGACACTGCAGATGAACAGTCTGCGTGTTGACCGTTGGTGAAGTCGAGTGGGATTGTGAAGGTGGAGCTGAGTCAACATCAACGCCACCACCTGAGGTTTACGGCTCAGAGGAAGGTCACGCGCTCCTGTAACCATCGACCTGATAAACAGTGTGTGCAGCTGACAAGGATACACAGTATAAAGGAATTAGAGGGCAAAGAAAGGTGTGTGTGTGTGTGTGTGTGTGTGTGTGTGTGTGTGT